TATATATATATATACACACACACCTTAAAATAAGTGAACTTCAGGGAATGAATTAGTATTTTAAAATAGTCTTCCTCTCCCTCACAAATGCTTTCGTGGGCACTTTCACACTTGGTCTCATGCTTTTGTTCTCTTTGTTATACATAAATTTCAATAAAAACTTAAGATTTAAAAATATGAGATGCATACTATATGAAGCTTAACATAAATGCATCCTTAATTTTTTTTCTCAGGGAGCCATCCAGGGTCCTGAAGAATTTATGGAAGGAATGGCACTAGGTCTTAAAGCATTAGTAGGGGGAGCTGTTGGTAAGTTTCAGTATTAATCATGGTAGTATACTTACTATTAAGAAATAGGTGAGTAAAATTGCATTGGCATTGTTTTGTTTTCCAATAGGTGGATTAGCTGGTGCTGCATCGAGAATCACTGGTGCTATGGCAAAGGGAGTAGCTGCAATAACTATGGATGAAGATTACCAGCAGAAAAGGAGAGAAGCCATGAATAAACAGCCCACTGGTCTGAGAGAGGGTATCACTCGTGGCGGAAAAGGATTAGTTTCTGTAAGGAGACAAAAAAAAAATATAAAAATATCAGTGGATTTTATGACGACAAAAGTAACAAATATAAAAGCTGTCACCAGAGACTTGTTACTCTTTATTTTAATTCTGGTTTTGCAAATATAGGGCCACAATTGAGTCATAGTTTTAATGAAAATATATGAAGATAGAAGGAAAGAGCTGTAAAGCAGATGCCTCTAATTCTGTTAACTTGTAGTGAATACTCCAACACATGTACTTTGAGGCTACTCACCAATGAAGTAGTAAGAAAAAATGTAAAATAATGAAAAATATAATCTGGAAGCATATTTGTAATGTTTCTTTTGTTTCTCTTGGTAGGGTTTTGTCAGTGGCATAACAGGAATAGTTACAAAACCAATAAGAGGTAAGTTTAGGTCTTGTGAACAGTTGATGCATCTGATGATGGTAAATTCTTGATATTTGATAAGACATTGTAAATCTAAATTATAAAACTTTTAATAAAGATTTTATATTCCTACTGACTTTTAATTTAAATGTTGTTTACATGAACTTTGTGTGGAGGAAACTGTTGCTGCACAGCAAATATGATTTGTAATTACAGATTTTAAGATTGTAAGAAAAACTTGAAATGTTTTATGATTTCCTACATTTAATCCTTTTAGGAGCTCAGAAAGAAGGAGCAGCTGGTTTTTTCAAAGGTGTTGGAAAAGGCTTAGTGGGAGCAGTAGCTAGGCCTACTGGAGGAATCATAGACATGGCGAGCAGCACATTTCAGGGTATTAAAAAGTAAGTATAATAAGTATGATGAATGACATATGGCATGAAACAGACAGTAGCAGTAGTACATTGTGTCTTTATGTCATTTCTGGATCAGTGTTTCTGGATCTCTCACTTTTGTCATTAATACAGATGAGCTAGAAAAAACAATTGTTTTTTATATAATAAATAGATCACTTTTCTGAAAATATGCAGTTAAAAACATTTTAAAAATATAGCATCAAATCTCATTTATTTCTAGTATTACCAAAGAAACTAGCTGAAAAAACCCTCAAGGATCAAACTTCCTTCAGTTACTGATTTTTTGCTTTCATTTCTTTTTCCACTTTAAGTTCTTTAGCATAGAAATGCAAGAAAAGTATCAGAGCAGAAGATCAGTATGGCCCAGATGTCTTCAATTTTGAAGATTTGAAGAATACTTAGACAATTAAGTATTGCAAGGATGTACTGCTCTGTGCCATCTCATTTTCTAATAATCATTCTCTGAAATAGATTTCTGAGTAAAATCTATTACTGTTTCATAGGATATCTATTCAGTGTCAATTCATATGCAAAAGTACATATATAGACAACAGTTACTTTAATAGTAATTGAATTTGTCTTTAAAGTAATTTAAAGCCTTTGCTAAATATTATTGCTGAGTAGAGATACTGACACATACCCTAACTTTGCTACTTTATTGTCAGAGTTGCAGATTCATCAGAAGATGTGGTAAGCCTGCGTCCACCTCGCTTCTTTGGTGAAGATGGAGTTATTAGACCTTACAGATTAAGAGATGGAACCGGAAGTCAAATGTTACAGGTGAAGAAAACAAAAACAATTTGACATATATTTTAACTCATCATACATTGAAATTTAACAGGATTTCCCATTTCTTAAATTCTCTACCACCCCTTACCTAGTAACTCAGTAGTCAAGAAGTTCTGTTTAATTTCTTAGTCTTATGACCACTCTGGTGATTTAGTTTCTGTGATACAACTTTTGAGAAAGACACCATAATTTATACCAGTATATCTCTAGAGGTTTGTGTAAGATACAGAGCATTTTGAGAGAAGAAGAATTGCTGTGCTTAATTAAAAACGTTTATGTCTTTTATTCTTGATAAACAGTTGTGATAAACACAAGGATACTTTGTTCAGTAATTTTATAATACGCATTTTATACAGTGGTATTTTAATCTCAATTTTGCGTAATGCAGCACCTTAAACACACTTAAGAGCTGTGTTTATATAATGCTACAGCCATTGAAAGAACCTAAAGTTTTGAAGTGAAATACTATTTTTATGAAGAACATGCTGAACAGCAGTTATTCTTTAATAATTCAGCTGTCATTTAAACAAATTTGGCTCAGATATCAAAGTGGAACTATTATGCAGCTTACAAAATTTCTATTTTTTTTTCTCTGTTAGAAGTAAAACTGCATTTTAGAAATATTCGTAAGAAATAAAGTAGTAATTAGTGATTACATGAATGTAAGCAGAATTTTAAAAATACACATTGAAATACACGCTGCCAGGGAAATGTTGAAGAAGTCATATAGAAATAGCCTTTTTGGAGAGATAGATAAGAATGAAGTAGCCTTTGCAGAGGATTTGTATACTATTTTGAGAATTGCTACAGGTGTTTGCTTCATGTCGAGTTCCAATCTGGTTGTTTCTGTTACTTCCGCATTTCATTAGTGTGCCTCTTGTTTTCTGGTAGAACTGGTTTGTCCTACTTGGGGAATTTCAGCTATGCTAGCCATACCATTTGCTGGTAATTTAGTTCAGAGAATGTGGAAATTCTTTAATAGTAATTAGTGTGTCTGTAGTGATTAGTGTGTCTGCCTTTCTTTTAATGAGGTAGCTTTAACCTGTGCTCTCCAATTTAAAGCTCATGTTATAAAACAGTATTACCTTAACTAGAACATAGTTAGAAGCTACTACTGATGAGTGATGTTAACTTACTTGCTAATGTTTCTTCTCTTTTTTGGTAAGGTAATTATTTCCAAAACATCCCCTTTTCTGTTTTAAAGTGTACCACTAAAACAAATGCTAGCAAGCTAACAGAGTCATCTCTAATGTGCATATTTCTAGAATGACTTCATATTGCTTTTCCCTCTTAAATTTGTATGTGCTTACATTTTGGTTTTTTTTCTGAGAAGCTTTTAAAAAAAATCAGCGATGTCATATGTAATTCTATTTTTTTTTTCTGTTGTGTACCACCACCTTCCATTATCCAACTTATAAAAGCGTAAAGGCATTGCCTTGTGTAATGCCTGTCATACTTTGTGATCACAGGCACCGTTTGAAAGTAGCAAATTTGAAAAATTTTATATTACGTATTAGTTTTCGCTACTGACAATTCTAAGGTAGAACTACTCTTCAAGAAATGTTTTGAAAGCTGTAAACAGGGTTGTAATCCTCCCTTTAGACAGTCAAATCAGGAAATAATTATTTGTGCAGTTTTTTCCAGTAGTTTGTTTGATGGCTTAATCTTTTTTTATCCTCAAGTACACTAATATTTTTGGTTGTCAATGCTTCCAGTTCTAGAGATACTTCTTGGTTTTGCATGAGATACAGTGTATTACACATCCCCTATCTGAAGCGGTTTGAAGAGCGTAATATTTTTTAATAGGGAAAAAAAGATTATTCTCCCCTTTTATATTATTTCTGTGCATACAGGTCTGGTGACTGGCCCCACTGCAGTCACTGTGTTGTAGAATTTTCAATGGATGACTGGATGAGATTGTATTAAACTTCTTTTAGTGATTTAGAGATTGTATATGCTGATTAAAGGAAATAGGATATAGATGATTTTGTGTGCTCATACTATGTCCTAAACTAGAATTTCACTTCAGAATTTCTTTGTTTTCTGGGATTTTAATTTGCTTTAATTAACAAATTTGCCAACTAATACTTCTAAACTAATACTTTTGCTTTCTTCTTCCCTTACCATGCTTTCAGAAAAGACAGGCCTACAGGGAATGGACTAAGACTCATAAGAGTAGTGATGATGATGACAGTTAGGATAATATGGACTGTAACAGATACAAATGGCCTTTGTCACTTTCCTTTGACCTTTAAGTATTAAATGTTGCTGCTATAATTCCCACTGAGAAATTGGAATCATCTGATATTCTTATTTTTAAAATTGTGAAAAAATATAGGTAAATAAACTATATGATCATGAGTGCTAGACAAAGGAGCAAAGAATATAATAAAAATAATCTTATTTTTAAAACCAGATATTAGGTGAAAATAGTATTGAATAGTATGAAGAAATACTAATACCGTGACTTAGAGTTTATTTCCAGATATGTTTCTATCAAGTGTATTAAATGTTTTTGCAATTACCTAAGCGTTCAACTGGTTTTCTTTGTAATTTGCTAGATGGAATGCTTTTTAAATGTGTTTAGTAAAACTTTACTGAGTTGTACAGTCATTATTGGTGTTAAAATGCTGTTTGACTGCTTTATTTCTTTCATATTTTAAGAGTATTTTGTCTGCTTTTCTTTTGAACAATAAACACATCTAAACTATATATATGATGGATTCATCTGTTCTGTTCCAGCCTTGTTTCTCATGTTTCCTGGAAGTAGACTATGTAAAAACACTGAATGGCCTATAGAAGTATTGAAAAGATAAAATACATGTATTTTGAAAGGAAAATTTAACATAAACCTTTAATTTTTCATTTATAATTTGTTTTATTGTAATTTTTTGAACACTTATGTATCCTTTGGAATCCTTAGATGTGTGAAATAATGGTTTATTTAGTTATATTTATTGTGATCATAAATTATTTGATTCTTAAG